TAGTAAAATACCAAACTATCAAGTGATTTTACTATTATAAATCATCATGTGATTTTGAGCTAAAAATGACATAGAAATCACATAGCTCAAAAACATATTTCAATAAATAACCATCCGTACTAATTGACCTTGCTTACGTGATCATCTCGACGAGCATTTCTCCACCGGACGGCACCGTACTTGGCCAAGGAAGAGCTCCGATTCTACGAGGAAGGGAACACGATCTTCCACGACCGTTGCCGCTCTCCCTCGTAGCATCAAAGCTCCTCCTTGACGTCCGTTACCGCTCGGCAGAGAAAATGCTCGCCAAGATGATCACGGTCCGCAAGTTCAACTAGTACGGATTTTCTACAATTTTCTAACTATTTTCTAAGTTTTTTATTTCATGGAAAAATTAATTCTAAGATCACGTAAGCATATGTTTGGCTGACTAGCAGCCTATAAATATATATCCCCAACCCCTCAGGTTGACATGACATTGAGAAATAAACCAAAAAATTGTCTTAACTTTTACTGTCATCCTCTCTCGATGAGAGTAAAAATTCTGCTACTACCAAGAGTGCAGCGACTAACCGGCAATGCCTAGGCACCTGCAAGGTGAGGTGATTCCGTACCCGTCTAGCAACACCAAACTAACAGCAGAGAAGGATGGAAGAAAAATAGGAGAAAACGGGAAGGAGAATGGGAAGGAGACTGGCCCAGCCCACCAAGCAGCCCTCCCTCCCCTCCCATAGTGAATTAAGCAGTCTATAACCTCAGGTGCTATCAATGCCCTCTCTATACCAGCCATTAGCCTCTCCTCCCCGTTGCTTCCTTGCCCCTCGAGTGGAATCACCACCGCTGCTCCCCCATCCAGATTAGCCGTAGTTGCCACTCCCTTTCCAGATCAGTCATTGCCGCTGCTGAACAGGCAGATGTTTGCATCGGCCACCAGTGGCAGAGCTGCCAGGGATGTGTAGGCTTCTGCTGCTTGTTCCCTTTCTCCCTCCCCTCTTTGTTGACGGAGACGCCCAGGACCGCGTGGACACCTTGTCACCTAAGGTGGCACCTTAAGAACACTGTCCTGCACTATTTTCTCTGTTGAAATGGCTGCTGTTGATCAATTTGGAGAACTGTACCTAATACAGTATCGTTCCGTGGTACAGATGAAATTAAAATATTCCAAAATGAAAATAAGAATTTAGAACAAGATAAAATCGAAATCTGTAGGTCATGCATACTATGTTTTCTTCATCTAAGTGGTGTTTGTGCTGAGAAATATTTGGGGGATTGCTATAGGAAATTTCTGGGATTCTTCTGGATTTTGCACACTCACAATACAATCAGGTCACAATTGTTTTTTAGGAAACTTTTGAGGGCATGTAAAAAATGTCAAACATCTGTGTCCAAGTATGAAGTATGGATTCATGAATCGTGTGAGCCAAAATGGCAATATGAATGTGACTAGATATTGTTGAAAATACAGCCATTGTTTTCTTACTGAAATCGAATTGTTGAAAATACAGCATGGCTGATAGCAGAGCCAGTTGTACATCTGACTTCCCATCCTTCAAATCTGATGTCCTTCGTGGTATATTTGCGAATTTAGTGTTGTCCTTCCATCTTTGCTCATCACTTATATCATTTTTTTCTCCCTCGTACTTTGCATTTGCTTGATCTTTAACCCTGTTGGATAACTGTGTTTAGAAGCCATTCTCCATCAGTACATGCTTAGTCTTGGTCTGGCTTCTATCAATCTAATTTGTTGGTAATTACAGCATCTGGTCACTAAATTACTGATTTAGAAACCAACACAGGATGTCTCAAAACACAACTTTGTATTTGTGCTTATTTATTTTATTTATTTCAATACAATTATGATACTATTGAAGTACTTTATGAAAAATCTCCACATCATTTTCACATGTCCGGTAGAACTATTCACAGAGATATTGTGGTAGTTGGTACCAATTACCTAAAGGAGTTCTCAGGATGCATCATTAATTGTTACCCATCATATCCAATATTTCTGATAAAATATAGCTCACATCACTGACTTCTCTGGGTAGTGGGTACCTCTCTTGTTTGCATGCCACTATACATATTTCTTTTTTGTTATCTGGTTCTTATTCTGCATGTGGATGTTTTCATGGCTGTTCTCTAGAGATTCTGCTGAAGTATTTTAGCTATATTTTCATGCCATATAAATTGTAATAATCTACAACATAAGGCGAAGAAAGATACCTATAAATCTCACAAAACACCACCATAATAATGACTGCACAATTGTGGTTATTTTTCAACATTTTGTAGTTCCAGAAGTAATCACAACTCTAACTTGGTCCCTCTTGTTGGAAATTTTTCCAGGCTTATTTCTGGTGCTGGTGAAGACATTCATGTGGTGCCTACCTCTGATAGGATTATCACACTTTTTTAGCGCTCACATGGGGGCCGAGTGTATTCAAGAGGGTTAAATATGCTTGCTTTCTATGGTAGAGTATCTTGACCTCAAAATAAGGATACTTCAAATACTTGGTAATGTATCGTCTGAAATACAGTTTGAAGTAGTAGTGAAGCGGTGACAATGATGTTAATATATTTTAGTGCTGATATAAATGTTGTTATAAGCTCCATTTGGTAAAATTCCTGCACGTGTTATTCTGTGTTTCATCAGAAAATTGTCTTCACTCTTTCCATTCCTGTTTTTTTATTTGCAAATTTAATTTTTGTTCCTTGCAGTTTTTTTGAGTCCTTTGATTTTTGTATGGGTTTTTGCAGAGTTATAAGCTACTTCCTCTGTCCCAAATTATAAGATATTTTTGCATTTCTAGATTCATAGCATGCTATGTATCTAGACATAGACATAACATATATTTAGGTGCATATCAAAAGCTATGAATCTAGAAAAAGTCAAAACGTCTTATAATTTGAAACGGAGAGAGTATTTGGTGCCTTCTATTAGTATATATCGAACTTATCAGCCTGGCTTATCAGCTATCGTACAGTGTTTTTCTCTCACAACAAAACATAGTCGATTTATCAGCCGCATAAACCATTAGCCGAACAGATGCCTATGTTCATTGTCCCTCCCAAGTACTGTACTTCGTTTTTTTGCCTCCCAGGTACTGTCCTTCGTTGTCCGTTCCATTCTTTCCTTAGAGCATCTCTAAGAGTTTGTTAAATTTTACTTGGCAAATCTTGTGATTTGCCAACTCCCAAAATTATATGCCAAGTAAAAAAACAATCCACCTCCAAGAGTTTGGCATTTTTGACTTGGTAAAATAAAAAAACCCGTTAAGAAAACGAAGAGCCCCGCTAAGCGAACGAAGAGCCCCGTTAAGAAACGAAGAGCCCTGGATGCCAAGCCGTATACGCGCGCGTATATTTGCACGCGCGGAGGGAAGATTTGTCAAGTTGCTATTGATGCCAAGTTGTTTTGCCAAACTGTTGGAGGCTATTTTTTCTTGTTTCGCTAAAATTATATGGATGCTAAGTTGAGATAGCAAACTCTTGGAGATGCTCTTACTGGGCTGGTTTTGGCTCTTTGGCTTATGTTCCCAGTTGCCACCTAGCTAGGTGAGCAGCAAATGGTTCTCTAATTAATTCCTGGAAATACTTTCATTCCAAACAGGCCCTACCATATTACGGGTAGAGTAACTGGCCAAGTTAAGCCTTTGCCAAATCTACAATCAACCACGTTAGTGTCTCTTATTATGGCCATATACAAAATAGATAGGAACTCTAATTTCATCCTTATTTCTGTCTAACACGCTCGATGTCACAGTTGACGTTGAACTATTTCTCTTGATCCCTACAATTGTACTTTGGGGCTCGGGCTCGGGGTGGACATTCCGTTAGCGGGTAGCGAGTCAGACGGCACTGAGTCACTGAGTCAGGTGTACTTGGGAGTGGGCATCTTCGCAGGCAGCGTTGGCAGCGTCACCTCGCACTGAAGCATGCTCACAGCCTGCCTGATGGAAGGCCGCAGGCTGGGGTCTGGATGGGCGCACGCCAGCCCGACGACCATCACACGCTCCATCTCGCCGTGGTCGAACTCGCCGTCCATCCGCTCGTCGGCGGCTTCAAGAACGGACCCTCTCCCATACAGGCCCCAGACCCATTCCACGAGGCGCGTCCTGCCCTGGTCCTGGTGCACCTGGTCGAGCACCACGGGCGGGCGGCCGCAGGCGATCTCGAGGAGCACGACGCCGAAGCTGTACACGTCGGACTCCGGACCCGCGCGGCCGGTGACGAGGCACTCCGGGTCCATGTAGCCCAGGGTGCCCGCCAGGTTGGTGGTGTGGGAGCCGCGGCCGTGGTCGACGAGCCTCGCGAGGCCGAAGTCGCCCAGCTTGGCGCCGAAGGAGGCGTCCAGCATGATGTTGCTGGGCTTGACGTCCCTGTGCACCACGCACTGCTCCCACTCCTGGTGAAGGTACAACAGCGCAGATCCCAACTCCAGCACGATCTTGAACCTGACAGGCCATGTTAGGAGAACGACTGGGTTGTAGAGATGGGTGTCGAGGCTGCCGTTGCTCATCAGTTCATACACCAGCAGTAGCTCCCTGCCCTGGTGGCACCACCCGATGAGCTGCACAAGGTTCCGATGCCGCAGCCGGCCTATGATCTTCACCTCTGAGGCGTACTCTTTCCTCCCTTGCTCTGAACCTCTCGACACTCTCTTGATGGCGACGTGGAGGTCTAGCTCTCTCAGAAATCCTCTGTAAACCGCGCCGAAGCCGCCTTCTCCGAGCTTCTCCTCCTCGGAGAAGCCTTTGGTTGCGACAGAGAGTTGGCCGTACTCAAACCGCTTGGGCCCTGAGCCCTTCTCAAACTCCTCGTCCATGAGCTTGCCTCGAGCTTCCGATTCTAGCTGTATCTCAGCCAACTCCAGGTGTTTCCTTCGTAGTGCGCGGAGCAGGGCAACAACTGCTAGGCAGAGGAGAATGGATATGGAGCTGGTAACTCCAAGAGCAACCTTTAGTCCGGTTCTGGAATTCGAATCACCTGCATATATAACATCAGGTGGTTGATGATGGCGTAAGTGTAATACGTTGTTGCATCGTCGGTAACAAGGATATATCAGTTGCGGTTAAGAACAAACCTGTGCTCGAGCCTGGGCCGGGTGAGCTCCAAGGAGCTACCAAGCTGAAGGACCAAGAGAGCAGCTGGTGCAGCTCAATGGACGAGCCAGTTGCCGCCGAGAACCCGATGGCCACCTGCTCCGGCAGCGACGTGCCGAGATCAACCTTGGCACTGACGTTGAAGGTCGGTGTCGCGTCGCCGAACTTGGGGCTGTGGTCGAACCTCAGCTGGACGTCCATCACGTTGGTGCTGCCGTTGTAGTCCACCCGCGCGCTCATCTGCCCGTTGAGGCTGAAGCTCGGCAGCGTGATGGTGGCCACGGACAGGATCGAGTTCACGTCGATGCCCATGTGGTCGTAGGTCACGTTCGGATCCCAGCTGTCGTTGAACGTGTCGAACTCCACGGCCACGAACCTGTCCTCCTGGCTAAGGCCGACGGTCCGGTTGAGGCAGTAGTCGGGACTGCAAAGCCCAAGGGCGCCGCCCTCCGAGTTGGGCGGCAGCGCCGACGGGTAGTGGCCGAGGAAGAAGGCCATGCCGTCGCCCTTGTTGTTCATGTCGGTGATGTTGATGGCGAAGGAGAAGGCGGTGGTGAAGCTGGCCACCTGCCCCGTCGCCTTGTCCCGAAGCGGCACCGGGTGCGCGTACGCTACCCTGCCCACGCTGAAGGAGAGGCCAGCCCTGTACGCGTTCGCCGTGAGGTCGAAGAGTTGGCCGTGGAATGCGGCGGCGCCCGCGGTCGTGAAGTCCGCGAGGCTGAACGTGGAGGCGTTGGAGAAGTCGAAGTCGAAGTCGAAGGAGAGGCAGGACGCGCGGAGGGCACCACGGCTGGTGCCGCCGACCATCAAGTAGACCAGCGAGATGACGACGAGACGTGCTGTGGAGCTCATGGTCATCGCCGCCGACCTGCTAGCAGCCATGCGTGTGCTCGCTGCCGCTGCGTAAAGTATAAAAATGCTAGCTTGTCGGTAGATTGATCGGCTTGATAATGAACGTCGTCCTGCTCTCTGTGGACGTAGGCAACTGCAAAAGTTAGTCGGTAATTGTTGCCTCGACAGTCGGGTACCAAGTGCTTGAATTATCGACATCTTGAGTTTACCACAATGACGATTGTGACGGGAGTTCGGTAGTTTTGACCTTTATTGAGCAAGTGGTGGCAAACTGTGTGCAACCTAAGGGACGGGCGTTCTAGACTGCCTGTGATTGTTAATTAAACAACTTGGCACGTACAAAAGACGATGATGGGAACTGACTCGAGCACAGTGCCCATCGCGCGCGTCGTCTGTTTCGTTTGTAGTTTCCACACGCCATCGCCCAATCATCGAGATGGTCGTGTTGATGCTTTTCCCACGCGGCGTGTTCAGTGCGCTGATTGGGACAGGTAAATTGCCGTGTGGAACGGGCAGCATGGAATCGAAATCTCCGCTGTTCTTGTCCTTGTTAGATTAAGGGTCATGGCCTGTTTGCTTTGCTCCTAGGCAGATTTGCCTTGCGCATGGAGCGTTCCCGAGTTGAGATCGGTGTCAAACAGTCTAAAAAGTGTCCGATGTCTGGCGCCTGGTTGAGTTGGTGATTGGAGAGGCTAGTTTTAGTTCTAAGATGCTTTCCGGACTTTCATGTGTCACTCGTCTTTCCGCTCCAACACTTGTTTCTGGTTCAAGTTCTACTAGCCGATGATTTGGGATAAAAATGAACGGAAACATGCGGGAAACATTCTCTTTCGTTTCTGCTACCATATTTTTTTACTGGTAGTGAAAGAAAGATATCACTAGTCGTAGTAGAAGTGAGACTGAGATACAAGTATAAAGAAATGTATAATTAAAAGTGGGAATAAAATGGAAACGAGCTGTAATCGAGAACTTAAACCAGAATTACATTGCTACATAGCCAAGAGTCCAAGATTTTTTACCCCTAGTAAACAAATGTGAAAGAAGGCTGGCCAGTGTGTCCACTTTTCTCCCCCAAGCTGGCAGACTTGAATTGACTAATGTAGTTTTCACTGTACTCCCAACTTTCTACATGTGCACCCTAGCTCTTCCAAAGACTGTGGTGAAGCAGATTGACAAATACAGGAAGCATTGCCTATGGAGAGGGTCAGATGTCAATGGTTAAGGCCAACCAAAAGCAACATGGCCTTTAGTTTGCACATCCAAAGATGAAGGGGGCTTTGTAGTGATAAACATTGAAGAACAAAACAAGGCTCTACTACTCAAAAGCATGCACAAATTCTTCAATAAAGATGAAATTCCATGGGTACAGATAGTTTGGGAAAAGCACTATGCAAATGGAAGATTGCCAACCTCAGTCAAAAAGGGTCATTTTGGTGGAGGGATAATTTAAAAACATTCAGAGTTTCAAGCAGATGGCACAAATTCAGGTTAAAAGTGGTATAACTTGTCTGTTTTGGAAGGACAATTGGAGAGCACAGAGTTTAGAAGCTGAATTTCCAGAGCTATTTTCCTTTGTCAAAAACAAAAACATTTCCTTAGCATCTGCATGGGATCATGATGACCTGACTCAATTACTGCATCTCCCAATTTCAGAAGCGGCATACAATCAATTGCAACAGGTAACTCAAGAAACAACAGGCTTACAGTTAAGCACAGAGCAAGACATTTGGCACTATTCTTGGGGGAACAAATTTTTATCTTCAAGAGCTTACATGATTTTGATGGGTCACTCACAGCATCACCCTTCCATTCAGTGGATCTGGAAAAGTTACTGCCAGCCAAAACACAAGGTATTCTTTTGGCTTTTGTTGAAGGATAGGCTGAGCACAAGGAACATTTTAAAAAGGAGAAATATGACCCTTCAATCATACAGCTGTGTTCTTTGTGCCCAAAACATAGAAGAATCAACTCATCATCTCTTCCTGCAATGCGAATTTGCAAAGCAATGCTGGGAGTTCATTGAGGTTGGTATTCCTCCTGATTCAGAATTCCCTGACTGCATGTACTTCCTCAGGGATGCAGTGCATTCTCAGTTTTACATGGAAGCAGTAATTATGATTTCTTGGGCAATTTGGACTACAAGAAATGCTTTCATTTTTTATAATATTCAACCAGATTTAGCAGCCAGCAGAAGAGTTTTTCAAAAGAGCCCTTATAGGTACTTAAGTCTTAACCCGCGGTCCATAGCACCTTTTCAGATTCTGTTTTCTTCTTTTGAAAGCGTATTTTGTTTCGGGTAGATCTAAAATACGTTTTGAGCTATTTACAGTTTTGCCACTAGATTTGTTTTAGCCATAAAATCTTCGTTTTAACTCTGATTTGATCCGTTCAAGTTGTGTTAGGTTCGTAATTAAGTAACCTACATGTTAATACTACTTTTGGACATGTTTTCAACTTTTAAAATTCGAGGTTAGATTTAATCTATTATTTTACTAAAGGAAAACTTGTTTAATTCATAACTTCTTTGTTTTAGCTCCGATTTTTGTGATCTTCGCGTCTGTGAGTTCGAAGTGTGACGTAGATTTGTTTTCCAAACTTTTCATCTTGATCTTATGCTATTGGTGTACTATTCTAATCTATAGCTTTTGTTTGCTATGCATGATTGGTCCTGGATGCTTGTATGTTGTTGTGATTATCGAGTATAGACGGTGAGCAATTCGTGGGAGATCAAGGGTACTACTTTGACGAGCAAGATCAGCAGAAGTACTTTGCTCAAGACAAATATAGCATGGGATCATCCTTGTTTCATATTCACTTTAATTCATTAAATTCATGTTGCATGTGTCACCTTGATAGGGATTCTCTAGAATTGAACTTTTACCTTGTCACCTACGGGTTATGCATTGGGTAGCTTTGCTAGTGCTCAATTATACCATAATCTTGTAACTTGACTAATGGTATATGCAATAAACATTAAAATATGATTTTTAGCAACTTGGAAACAGGGGGCTGGAGTATTTAGCTACTTTCTAAATGCTTCAGATTTCTCTCCCTAAGGACTTATCTATAAGTGATCATCCGGGACTTAAAGTACAGCTGTGAGGGCTACATGGCTCTAGCTTTAGCTCAGTATGATGATCTTTTTCTAGCTTGTTAGTGGTTACCTTTATTGGCGTAAGAATGGCTTATCGAATCAGGTATAGGACAGCCTCTACTCTTATGTGTATAGCCGCGATGAAATTGTGCCATTTGACAGGGGGTTCCTATATCTGTTTGCCGAGTGAATCTAATGTCCCTAACTTGTTAGACGAACCTTTGAAAGGCTTCATAGTAACCCCTGCCTGCTCACCTTGGAAGTGTTTTGGGAGTAATTAATCCGGGCATATGGGTATCACGACTCACAGTGAAAGTGTACAACCTCTATAGAGTGTAAAACTGGTATATCAGCCATGCTCACGGTCACGAGCGGCCTTGGAACATTTACGGAATAGATGAACACTAAGAATTATCTGTTTACGCTATTCATTATTCATGCTTATATTGATCTTGTGTTTTGCATTGGGAATTGAAACAACTTGTTGGTACTCTTAAGCTAAAATTGTGACAACTAAAAGCTGAATGCTGTTAAACCTGTGTCAAGCCTTTTGAGCCTCATGAACCCCATGTTACACTTATTGAGTACGACATGTACTTACGCTTGTTTATTTTTATTATTTGGATAAAAATCCTGGATAGGTAACAGATGGCTATGGGTATGATGATTTCCCTGAGGACTTCTAGACTTGTGGTCAACCAGTCGACGTCTCTGTGAAATGGAGCTTCCGCGAGAGATCTTTTCTTACTTCCGCTACATTTATGTGAAAACTCTGTCTTATTCGTGATGTAATAAACACTTGTAATGATACTATTCATAATTCGTCGGCTTATGTGTGTGACTGATCTCTAAGCGTACATAAGATTTTGCATCCCATTTTATCCTTAAAATTAGGTGTGACAGATTGATATCAGAGCTGTGTTGACTGTAGGATGCAAGCCTAGTTAGTAATAGTCGTTTTAGCTTCTTTTGCTTCACTCATTTCATGCTTTCTATCTCACCCTTGTTATTTGCTAAAGTTTTATGTTTCTTTTGCCTTACTCTATTATAAAAATTATTGCTTCTAATCTAACTAATTAAATCTAATTCTGTAGATGCCTTGTGCCAGTAAGACTGCACGCATCAGCACCGGAGGTTACTACCCGCCTCGTGGTTTGTCCATGGATCCTAAGGAGGAGGAACCCTAGGAACAAGAATTTGATTCACCAACACCTGTACCTACGCCTGAGCCAGTCTAGGAGGAACCCAAAGAAGTCGAGGTCGTCCAACTGTCCAACGATGATGATGAGGAAGACGTCGTAGAAGAGGATGAGCCAATCCCACCCCTAGGATGGACGACAAAGGTTTGGTATAAGCTAGGATGTGAATCCTCCGTTCACACCACCGACTCATGAGTATTCTTCAGACCTACTCCGGGGATTGGGATGCAGCTGTGGAGTACGTCTGTAATGAACATACGCACCCTCTAGAAGACACCTATTGGAAGACCAGGGTGTGCATCTCCATCAAGGACGAACAGAAAGGCACATACCAGTTGGACTCAAACTATGCGCATCATGCTCACTGTGCTACCATGGAGGATAGCATAGAAGATGCAGTCGCTGAAGCTTGCATAGGTCTCCGTGGTCGTCGATTCGAGGATATGAAGGATGACCAATATCGATTCCTCCCTCACCAACACCCGAAATTAGGATGGGCAATGATGGACCCTCAGGGCATGGATCCAACAACCCAAGTGATGGTACACTTTGGGTATGAATCCGTAGTAAAGATTCGCCGATTGGAGAATCAGTTGAAGGCACAACAGAAAACCATCAAGAGACACCCGACAGGTGATAGATGAACAAAGGATGTGCCTCAATCTACTAAAGATGTATGCGGAGCTTCCTCATAAACCTCGCCCATAGATGTT